AAAAATACTGTCTATTTTTTATAATTCTTTAGCTATGGCTATTAAGTTCTAACTAAAATAAAAGGGAATTATTTAAATGTGTTTTCTGGAAATATTTTACTAAACCAGTCGTTATTTTTCTCAAGTTTTTCCCTTTCGCGGTGTAATTGTTCCCTGCGGGCGTGCGGGTCTATGAAGACCTTTTGTTACAGTCTGCTTCCATCTGAGCTTTAGACTTTTTAATTGTTGTGGAACTACTTTTTTTTAATATATATATATTAGATATTTATCTTACATGAGTGAAGCTCAGCAATCGTCTTCAGGCCTCGATGCACCTATCCAATGGCCCGTAACCAGGAGCGCATACAAAATTATCCACTCTATAGGTTTGGTTCTGACTTTTAATGTGCTTTCCTTAAGGTCAAGGGGCAACTTCTGTGGTTCACGAGGCGGAATGTATCCCACTTGCTAAAAAATGTGCAATCAAAATAATTAACTTAGAAAAGTGCAGCACTTCTGCCTCCCTGGACGAGATAAACGTAAACATTCATCCTTTTTATAGATGTAGCGCGAGATTAAATCTATGAAAAATATGAAAAACGAATGCATTGTTGCATATTATGCATCGTTTGTAGACAAGACCGAACTACTTATCGTGATGGATTTATGCCAAAGAGGTGGTTTATTACTTTTATCTGACTGTGAAATTTTACCTCCTTAATCTTGTGTTAAAGCTATTTTTCGCTAACATGCTTTTTGTTTTTCTGTCTGTGTTATTAAGGGTCGTTACTGGATGTAATAAAATTCACTCACAGCAAAAGGGATATAACTTACGGTGTTTTTGATGAAAACACAATAGCAACAATATTAAAAGATGTCTTGCGCGGACTTGCTTATATTCACGAGAATGGCCTTGTTCATCGGTAAGTTGCGCTACTAATGGAGTATTTGAATACTTAACGCCGATTAAACTTTATATGGCATTAATTTATGCTATATCATGTTGACTTCAAGACCTATTTTTTATCAGAACATACGATTATGTACTTAGTATACAGTAAGACTGTTATTGTCAAATTATTGAGTTTGGCAAAACTTTAATGTCACTGATATATTTAATTATCCTCTTGGGGGTGGAATGATTAGTTTTATCCTTCGAATATCATACTTTTTATCTATTCTTCTGTAAGACGGTTTATGCGCATACATAATAGCGTATACTAATTACTTGGCCACTTAAAATTTTGGCAGGCTGCTTTTGGTTTATTTAGGCCAGTTACATCCCTTTTGTCAGTTATCCTTACGAGCTAGATCCCTACTTAATCCCATATTATCCTACATGAATAATTCTATAAGATTTTTATTTGTTTTCTTGATTTGATGCATTTAACCACAGCCAATTAGG